GTCACCTGGGGTTGAAGGGACTGAAACAAGGGTGCATTGTCGTGCATGCTTATAATGCGATTGACGTTGTTGGCTGTGTGTGCTGCGGTCTGTGCGACGGGCGAGTCTCCGGTACGAGTGTTGGGAGAATTGGAGGATGCGCGCGCGAACTACAAGAAGGCCAAGGCGACAGCGGAGGCGTTGGTGAAGAAGTTTAACAAGTCGCGGGGTTCGGCTGCTGACAAGTTGAAGAAGGAGGTGGAGAAGGCGGAGAAGGCGGCGCGTACTGCAAGTAAGACGTTGAAGAAGGTGGAGGCCCGGAGCGCGGCGACGGGGTCGAAGAAGAAGAGCGAGAAGAAGGCTGGTACGCTAAAGGAAGAGGTGAAGCAGCGTGCCGAAGACCGGCACAAAGACACGCAAAAGGGCGGGAAGGACACAGCCAAGGACGCCAAGGACGCCTTGGAGGAGGCGAACGCAGACCTGAAAAAGGCCAAGCGGACCGCGGGTGACCGCGCCAAGACAGCTGTGGACTCGACCGTGAAGGGTGCGAAGAAAGCAGGCGGCAAGATCAACTACGAGGTCAAGGATGCAGGCAATGCCATGGCCGACGAGGCTTTGAAGGCCGGCGGCCGCGTCAAGTCGGGAGCCGCGGCCGTGGGCAACGTTTCGGTCAACGCCGCACTCGGCGTGAAAAACGCGTTTAAACACGCCGGCACGAACAGCAAGGTCGCGGCCGCAAATGTGGGCGATGCCATCGGCGACCACGCCACTGACGCCAAGAACAAGGTAGTGGGCGGCGTCCAAACTGCCGGCCTGCAAGTCAAGAAGGCCGGGGACGCTTCGGTCGAAGGCGCCAAGAAAGTCGGCGAAGCCATCCATGTCGGCGCCGTCAATGTTGGCGACGTCATCGGTGACCTCGCAACCGACGCCAAAAATGGACTTGGCACCGGCCTAGGCAGCGCTGGCGCAGCTATTGGTAGCATGCCAAGTCTAGCCAGCAGCCTGGCGGCCAAAGCGAAACTTGCCGGCACTACAGCTCTTGGCCGCAAAGACCTCGGTCTCGACTGGTGGAAGGCACTCCTCATCGTCCTCGGCACCACCCTTGGCGCCGGCCTCCTTTCCGCCCTCTGGGAGTTCTTCGGCCCCGCTAAGAAACACGCCTATGACATCGACACCGTCCAGCCTCACTACGTCGCCGGCGCTCCCACCGTGGCCGCCACCGGCGCCACTACCACCGTCGCAGAACCACAAGTCGCACCCGCCGTCGTCGCACAAACCAGCCTCCAAAAACAGCCCACCGTCCCTGTCGCTGCCGTTGTGACAGAGGCGGCCCCGGCCGCTGTTCCGGCAGACGCTACCGTCATACCCGTCGCCACTGCACCTGCTAACGCACAGGTCGCGCCCGACGCCGTCCCCGTCCCCGTGACCACCACCACCACTACCAGCGAGGTCGTCCAACCCATGCAGGTCGAAACCACGCAAACCGTTGTCCCCGTCGGAGAACCCCAACCCGTCCAGCCAACCGCCGCCGGCCAGGACGCTGCCCAACACGTCGGAAACTTGAAGGAAAAATTCGATAAAGATTAGTTCTTATTTGACGCCCTTTTCTCATCAACCTTGTTTCTTATTATCTTCACCATTTACTATTGCATTCTTTCGACCCTTTCATGCTCAAGCCCCAGTACCTTCAACGCGCATGA